CATCAGAACCATCAGACCCATCAGATCCATCAACCATCAGAACCATCAGACCCATCAGAACCATCAGATCCATCAGAACCATCAGATCCATCAGAACCATCAGACCCATCAGATCCATCAACCATCAGAACCATCAGACCCATCAGAACCATCAGATCCATCAGACCCATCAGAATCATCAGATCCATCAGAACAATCAGATCCATCAGATCCATCAGACCCATCAGAACCATCAACCATCAGACCCATCAGAACCATCAGATCCATCAGAACCATCAGATCCATCAGAACCATCAGACCCATCAGATCCATCAACCATCAGAACCATCAGACCCATCAGAACCATCAGATCCATCAGAACCATCAGATCCATCAGATCCATCAGAACCATCAGCGACCCTGTAAACTGAGACAGATGTCCAACACCGAGCTGCACCCAGAACAGCCACTGGACAAACTGCTGAGGAGTAAACATTTAAATTCAATCCGTTCAGGAGAGAAAGGCTAAACGTCTAAAACTAGTTTTGAGATTTTTGCCAAACTTTAGCATCTTCAGCGTGGATGCAGAGCAGGAAGCAGTGGAGCACAGAAACCGCTACCATCCCTGTGGTGGTTCTTTGCCACCTGCAATAATTAGTTTTTGATTACCTGCAAACAGAATCAGTCATTTCTGCAGAGAGATTAATGGCTTTTGAAGTATTTTCTAAAACAGGATGCATGTTTTATTTTTTATCCTGAATGAGTGATGGTGTTTACGTCTCAGAACGTTTCACTAAGCCTAACAGATGGTTTGAACTTCCAGCGCCTCACCTCGTCGAAGTCAGCGATGATTTCGTTGAGCAGCCGCAGACACTCGACTCCCTGGTTGTTCATCTCAGTCTGGGAGTAAAAGTCGGCGAAGCCGGGGATGGAGGCGAACATCACGCCCACCGAGTCGTAGGACTGGGAGTACAGCTCCTGAGGAGACACCGACACAACGAGACGTTAAAACACGGCGCAGACGAGACGTTAACCCCGTCAGAGAAAATACAGCCACTGCCGAAGGATTACCGGTTGAGAACAGACAAATATAAGTAATGCACGAACGTATTACAATTTTTTCTTAGTATTTCAGTCAGTTTGAGGTCTAGACTTTGTGTTCAGGATCATTGTCCTGTTATTGACTTACACGGCTTCACTATGGCTGTGTCTGCATGTAATGAACTTTCAAAATGGCACAAAAAGAAAAATCAACCAGGATAAACAAAGCTTGAATTCATCACATGTTGAGGCTACGTACGGCTGCAGTAAACTGGAAGCAGAGGTTAAGGACTATCATGGAGCACACATCTCAGAAAAATTGAGAGTTTTTCCCTCCAGACTGGAAGTTCGGAGTTTCATGCCTCTGGTAAGGCACCAATCAACCACAGGATGAAAAGTTTGTTAGGTCAGAATTTATCCGTTTGTTTCCGTCTCCCCTTCAGAGCATTAACTGTTTTTCAGGAAAGCACAAAACGCCTCAAACGTAAAAACTTACAGTCTTCAACATGCTGAGGCCCAGATCATGAGGCGTTATACATGTAGTTCTGCAGAAATGTTTGGATTACTGTAAGGTCAAGGCACAGTGCTTGACCGTTGCCATGATGTGTTTTGTTTTCTCCAAACTGGTTCAGAATGACAGAAGAATTTCTTTATGTTGGTCTGCAGAAATCCACTGGTTCATTCAGACCCAACCTCATGATTGGTGCTGCTGTATCCAATCCTCCACCTGCTCAAGTAACCCAGACTTGTTCACTCCTGTTCCTGTTTTAACCTTTAAGATGCACATCTGGGAACTTCAGCAGCTTCCCTAAATCTTTTTCCACCTCAGTGAGATTCGGGTAAATTTCCTGGTAAATTCTGTAAATCTTCCCAGGTTGATGGGCAGCAACAATTACCAAACTAGAGTAATTGCTGATAAGTTTTCACCCAGCCGTTCTTCAACACACAACAGTGGTCACACATTTTCCATTTAGTTTTCATTTGTATTCAAGAAATAATGACCGTGTGGATCCGTTATAATGAGATGTAAATCATTTTAAAACCCAGTAAAAACCAGATGAGCTTCATTATATCCTCACATGAATAAAATAATTTGCTCTGATCTCACATCAAGCAGAAAATCCTCCTCAAAATCACTGATTAATAAATGAAACAGTGCAGTGCATCCTTCCCTCCACCAGGGGGCAATGTTAGCTCGTACCAGGCAGCAGGTCTGCAGACATGAAGCAGCACATCCTTACATCCCAAATGTCACATTCAGTAATTCATCATGCCATTATGGTGGTATTGTAATAATAGGGTGATAAACATTAACGTCCATCCGCAGTTCAACATTTCAAGTTAATAATTCAGGAGAAGCTCCGTCTGTCCGCAGGCTGCTCAGGTCTTAATGTAATTACACAGTTGTGAAAACGGGCCTCTGACCTGAATGGAGCTTCCTCAGCGGCTTTGTGTGCAGCTAATGAGCTCAGCAAACGTCCAAACTTCAGAAGGGAAACTTGGTTAAAGTTGAACTAATTGAATTTCTTGGTCTTGTGCTGCGTTGCTGCGCTGAACGTCAGGCAGCGTTTTAAGGTTCAGTCGGGGTTCAGTCCTGCCGCTGAAGCCTCTTTAGTACGTTTAACTCTCTGGGCTTCGGATATTTGGTGGAAAGCATCAGAGGTGGAGGGAGAGGCGGAGGAAAACCAGACACCAAATATTTACAGTCGTTTTTAAGCTCTGCTGTTTATTCCGACTTTAGAGATAAAAGTTATGAATTTTAGTTTCATGGGTAAAAATGTCACTCGGTCTTGTTTTCACCACTAATCACAGCATATCAACACACACTAGATGTCACAGAGGAATAATTTATGGGTTGGATCCTGTCTGAAAAATAAATGGTTCCATTGATCCGACCAGCAGAGATTTATGATCAAATCTATAACCTGTCAAGAAATGTTTTTGTCATTTTATATCTCTTAAGGAATATAAACAGTCTTCACAATATTTCCTAGGGTTTCCTGCTGTGACCTGCCATTGTTTCTATTTCGGAGCAGAGGTGACGTCACACTGTGTGTGTTAGAAAGCAGTTTGTGAAAACAGGAGTTTATTAGTTTGAAATAAAATGACACGCAGAGGGAAAATTAATCTGTGTTCAGAAATTTAAGTTAGTAATAAAGACAGTTAGCATTGCTAACCATAAATAGCAATCTCTCCGCAAAACGTCTCCATGACAACAGCAACAAAAAAACTTAAAAATCTCTGAAGTCCAAAGAACAGCTTTGAAAGACTTTAATAAGGATTGATTAGGACACGGCAAAAGTTACCAGGAAGTTTTTCTGCTTGGGACCAAATAATAAGTCAGAAAGTTGAGTAATAATAATAATCCAGATCTGACTTGGATTAAACTGCTTTGCCTTGTTGCTACGGCCTGTAACTATGAAACGTCTGCGTAATCAGCGGTTAGCCAAACTGAAATGTCCTTAATCAGGCTCCAGACGTCTTCATGGCGTTCTGCTGCAGCGGAGCCTAAATCCCAGAACAATAAACAGCCTGATTGATGCTGCAGCGCCTGATGAGGAGCCAAAACGCTGTAATCCCCTCCTTCATGACGAGGAGCGGAGGGAGACGAGGTCGGCTACCTGAACTCACCTGACGACGAGTCACCTGCCAGAAAGCCCTCTGCACAGGCTTCCATCCAACAGAACCAGGCAACTGGATCTGCAGATCACCTGGTTGGAGGTGTAGGGAAGCTTCTCCCTCTGCTGATGGAGCGTTTCCCACCAACATTCATCTCACCTGGCAGCTCATTAAAGGGAAACTATTCAAACGAGATGCCGTAGTTTAATTATCCTCACTTGTCCTATTAACAAATGTTTTTTTTAGCTTTGTTCCAGAATGAAATATTGTAGCTGTAGATTTGTTGGTCATTAGAATCGCAAAGCTCTTCCCATAATTACCTGAACCCCTGGTAAAAACAAGAAGAAACCCAGTTAAGGAATATTTTACATAAAATCATCCGTAACAATGAAAAGTGAGATAAAACTTTAATCCCTGCAGCTCAGCAGAAACGTTTCTACAGCATTTATGTCTCAGATAAACATGATTTTGGTGGTTTGGTCATGGATTATTTTACTCCAAACCGATCCGGAGTGTTTGTTGCTTGTTCTCAAACACACAGCTCCAGTTAAAGTCCCAGTTAAAGTCCCAGTTAAGTCAGGATGAAAGAAGCTCTGTTACAGACTTTGTTGCTACGTTTAGTTTTTACTTTTCTGACTTTCTATCCACTTTTATTTTCAGAAATTCGAGCAGTGACTGCAAAAATTTTCCGTTTGTGCTGCTATTAAAATTATTATTATAAATAAATGTTTCAATATTCTCCCTCACGTCGGTTTGTGTCTGTTTGTGTCGGTTCGTGTCGGTTCGTGTCCGTTCGTGTCGGTTCATGTCGGTTCGTGTCCGTTCGTGTCGGTTCATGTCAGTTTACGTCGGTTCATGTCGGTTTGTGTCAGTTTACGTCGGTTTGTGTCTGTTTGTGTCGGTTCGTGTCGGTTCGTGTCCGTTCGTGTCGGTTCATGTCAGTTTACGTCGGTTCATGTCGGTTTATGTCAGTTTACGTCGGTTCGTGTCGGTGTGTGCCGGACCTCGTTGTCGCGGTCCTTCTCCAGGAAGTGGCGCGCCACGTGGCTGGGCAGGATGTTCCTCAGCATGTTCTCGTTGTGTTCCCGCAGCTCCTTCATCTCGTTGATCTCCTCCTTGGCCTGGACGCGCCACAGGAAGTCCAGCCGGGCCGTGTACTCCAGCTGAAACCACAAACCGGGTCAGAAATCGCTACAGATCCAGCCTGAGTGCTACTGCTCTGCACAAACCTCAACGTGACAAACGGCTGGAAAATGAAGGAATCCTCATGGAAAACTGTCACTTTAAAGAAACTTCAGAGCTTTTTTCTACAGCGAATGAACTTTCATACATTTATTACATTTGGAAAATAAACAGTGACAATAAGAAACAGCAGAAAAACAGTTTTTAGAAAAAAAATAATAAAAATGTTACTGATGTAATTATTAATCTGTTTGAAATAAAAAATAAAATAAAAGCTTTATTTTATTTTATTTTAGGTTTTGCTTTGGCCCCTCAGACCAGGTCAGCTTTACACTGTAAAACAGAGCATGGCTTAACTTAAGCCTACTAGATTATTATCTTGTTTTTGTCAGAAATCAAATTATATCAAGTTGATTTAATGAGATAAAGATTATTTTTAAGTTCTTAAACTTCATTTGAGTTGTTTTAATTTTTTACGGTAATTAAAATTAAACTGAAAACTGTCCTCACTTATTAAAAAAGCAACATTTTTATATTTTCACTCACATCATCCAGGTGAAATAATGACTTATGTGAAGTTATAGCATTAAATGATATTCTAACTCATCTTAAACTATCTGAGTAAACTTTGTTCTCAACTATTGGAGACTGACAGTTGCGTTGCTGATTGCTTTCTGCGCGTCAACATCGAATATTTCATCTGTTTTCTCATCCAAGTCTAAAACTTTTAATTAGTAAGGAATCTTCATGCGAGGCTAATGTCGGAAAAATAAAGTGATTTCTTCTTTTCGGTGTGCAGATGTTTTACAGACCGTTAAAAATAAACCTCCAGCTGCTGGAGTTTAGAGAACAAAGTTGGCCTGAGCTTCCTGACGCCAAAGCCGATGAATTTGTTCCATAAAAAGCTGATTGGAAGTGAAGTTCAGGACAAACTGTTACATAAATGAGATGATTGAATTCACAGCAACAGGCAGGCAAATTAAAATATTTAATCACCTTTGCAGTGCAGGACTATTCGATCAATCTGCTGTGCAGCTGAAGTATTTTAAGAGGCAACTCAATTAGCTTTTCTGAATTAACAATTAATACAAAGTCACATGAATGAATTAGAGCCAAACAAGTGGTGTGCGCCTGCAGAAGGGAGGGAAGAGAAAAGTCATCAGTGAGGCTGAAAAATGATTTCCAGGGCAGGACGATAAGCCTGGAAGGATTTCTGCTCTTCTTCTGAGGCGCCTGATTAATCAGGGAATCAATTAGTGACTAATCAGGAGAGAAACTTCTTCCAGTTTCCTGTCCAATTAACGTTCAGCCAGTCTGAGTGAAGCTGCATCCACTGGAAAGAGAAGCCAACCGCTGACGCAACCTGCACCGGAAATCAAGTTCCACATTTCAGCATCGACAAATACATAAATTCAAGTTAATCACATTTAACTATAACGACTATTTGAGCTCAATAGCAAAGATAATTATTGTTTTCAATCTGTTCTTACGGTTACTGCACGCTTGCGCTGATGCTACATGTTTAGCACTGAGATGCTATTTTAGGTTAGCGTAGCTTCACTGACAGGCTAGCTGCTCCTGTTAGCACAACTTCAACACAACAACAGTTTTTTACAGCGTCCAATCAGATCAGTGGAAGCAGAAACTAAAGCCAGAGAGAAACGATCAAATGTGCGTCAGTTTTACAGGCGTACCAGAAACAAGCGAGTATAAAGGTTCCGGCCCGATCTTCTGTATGTAAAAAAAAATATTAACTTCTTCTTTAACATGTTAAAATCTATATAAAACTATTATTATTTATAAATCAAAGGCTGATGAAGCTCAGCCTTCATGGCCGTCTCAGCTGGAACGATGTCAGTAAGGAAAACTCTTTTCCCAAAATGGCCGCTTTATTTCTAAACTGTGACTTTGCTGATTAGTTGAGCGATATTCACAGAGAAGGAAGCCTTGATTTACTATCCAGATTTTTGCTTTTTAATGTAAAATGTAGCCAGTGGTTTATTAAAGTTACAAATAAACAGGTTGGTGTGATGGACGGTGTCAGCAGAACCATCTCCCACCTGGTCACAACCATCTGCTGCTCCAGAGACGTTCACCGCCTGACTAACGTCTCTTCATTTCAGACGAAGGACAAGTGAGCGAACAGGACGACATGTTGGAGACAATCTTTACTGCCAGTTAATTTGTTGGACCAAACACGGAGCCACAGACTCCAGGAGCAGCTGTGCAAATAAATAATAAATGCTTTAAAGTGGCAGTTAGCTGATTGGGTCTTTATCGGCCTGGAAATAAAAGCTACCTGCAGAATCCAGAACGAATGAAACATCCAGAAGATGTGGGAATATCTTCAAGCAGGATCTCCAACATTTCTCCATTTGTTTGCCTCCATCAGAAAGAGGATCAGTTTAAAAACATTTCTACCTGCACTAGGATCAGCAAACAGCCGTTCTCCTCAGACATTAACAGCAAGTCTCAGATTTCTCAAGGAGCAAATCAAAGCTAAGAGCCTGTAAGTGAAGCTGGTTGTGAAGGAAAAGGCTTTAATCTCCTCACAAACAGAATCACTCGAGTGTCCCTTCAACACGGCCCTGAGAGGCAGAGCAGCTTTTCCACAATCAGCAGCAGGACGGCGCGTTTCCAACAACAAAAACATAAAAATCATCAAACTAATTACAGAGCAGCAACGATGCTTCTGCAGACAGCGGCGGCGGCAGACCTCAGAGCTCCTGTTAATTTAACAGAATAAAATTCACTCCACACTGTCAACAGTGAAACTGACTGTAAATGTCATTAATCCAAATGAAGTCATAAGAGTCTCTTGGATGTTTGGAAAAAATCCTTCATGCAGAATAAGATGCACTATTACTGATTTACTTTTATTTGAAATAACTTTAAATCTGATTGGCTGAAAGTCTAATTCTGCATTTCCAAAGAACTCAGATTAGAACCAACTGGATTTAATCCCAGTGAAATGTTTAGTTTGTTGTTAATTTGTAACTAAATTGACATTTTTCTCAGTTTGAATGGATTTAAGGGAATTTTTGGCTGTAAAACCGTTCATTCATGAATTTTAGATCTTGGGCTGTAATTTAGTGATAGACACTAGTTAGAGGTCAGAGGTTAACCCTAAGCTGAGCTCTGCAGAGTCCTGCGAAGAAAACATGTAGAGTTGAAGGACAGTAGCTCTGCATGTGTCCGACAGGTTGATGCTCCAACTGGACGCTGAGCAAAGAGCTCTCAGAGCGTCTCCTCCTGATGCGGCGGCGACTCAGAGCGTCTCCTCCGCTCCTCCTGATGCGGCGCCGTCTCAGAGCATCTCCTCCTGATGCAGCGCCGTCTCAGAGCATCTCCTCCTGATGAGGCAGCGTCTCAGAGCATCTCCTCCTGATGAGGCAGCGTCTCCGAGCGTCTCCTCCTGATGCGGCGCCGTCTCAGAGCGTCTCCTCCTGATGCGGCGCCGTTTCCGAGCGGCGAGTCGCAGGCCTGGCGCTGAGAGCTGTCATTGTCTCCTGCTTCCCAAACAAGTGATCGAATTGACCCAGAGAAAATCGATGCTGTATGGCTTCAAATGCGGCTGCTTTCTACTTTCATGAGGCCACAAAAGACCTTCAATTACGTGACGGGTCCAGTCCTCCAGCCGGCGCTGAGCCGCCCCGCTGCATGATCAAAGGTTGCCATAGAGAGAGCATGAAAGCAGCGGGGCGACGACCGTTTCCTCCCGGCCGCGGAGCCGGACTCCATCAGCGCAGAGTGGATCATGGAGCGCATCGGCCCGGCGAAATGAGCCGGATCGTTCTGTTTACGGCGTGAAGATAAAACGCCGTCGTCATGGTTACACCAAAATATCCAGGAAGACGATTCTGTACCTGAACGATTTACAGACAAACTGCTGCTCAGGGAAACGGTTCAACTTACAAACCGGGAAACAAAACATGCTTCAGAAAATGTGATCAGTGAACCAGAGACAGAAAACCAAAAACCGGAGGGTAGAAATACAAAAACATGTTTTACTCAAGTAAAACTAAAACGCAGAAATCGCAGCACGACTCAGAGGAAAGAAGCTGGAAACATTTACTATTATTCATAGTTATGAAATGATCCTGAGGCTAAAATGTGCTGATTTCTCCAGACCAGAAAGACATCAACGTCTGAACAAAATGTGATGATTTAGATGGCAGACATTTCTGTGTTCAACGATTAGAAGTAATTCTATAGCAAATAAAATAAATATCTATGTTTTTATTGGCTGTTAGCCGTCATCATTGATTAGTGGATTTATTCACCTGATCAGTTTCTCTTTCATTTCTAACCAAACTAAATGTTCAGTTATTTTCTAATCACATGTAATTATGTAATAATTATGTAATAATTGTGTAATAATCATGTAATAACGCTACATGTGCTCAGACTGAGACCTGCGGTTAAACTCTACTGCCACATCCAGGAGGAATAAATCTTTTCTGATACAACGTTCCAACTTTTAATTGTGAGAAAAGTGTGTTAGATTACTTTATGCTTTTTAATTTAATGGTCTGGTAGATCTGCTAATTTGTGGCATGATGAAGCTTTTTCCTCTTTCCAATTAGCTGCAGCGCAGCAGGAGATGTTTGTCTGAAAGGGAAATGAATCGACTGACTTTAATTTGGTTGGCGGCACCTGGAAGCTGGACCTGAAACGAAGCAGCAGAACCACCAGGAACCACCAGGAACCCGATGGACCGATTCTGCTCTGCAGCTTCATTAAAGCATCATCAGTGTAATCACTTCTTCAGGCCTCCTGCTGAGGGAATCAAGTCTTTAACTGCTTCAGCGTCGCTTCAGGCTTTCATTTTGTTCCACTGGATGAAGTGAATCTTTGTTCCTTAAACTCTTTTTAAGAAGCGTAAACATGACTTCCTGTTTCATTTCCATCGCGGTGAGCGAAACCGTTCAGGTCGTCCTGATCGGTTTCTGGAGTTCTGCTGCCATCGGCTCAACTCACAACTTCTTTAGTGAATTAAACTGCTAACTTTCTGTTTTCTCAGATGCACCTGGTCTGGCGTTCTGATTGGCTGAGGCTCCTCCTGCAGGACGCCATCAGCTGACATGATGCAGGTTCCCTCCTGGTTTTCCTCTCCACTGTCGCTTCATGCATGTTTGATATGAGGGATTTCTGTCAAGTCAAGGACTCGACACAACCGACTGTCTCCTGTCGCTTCGTCAGGAGGAATGAGCCTGCTGGGCTTCCTTAGAAAGAAACCTTTTAATCTAATCTGAATAATAAGCTGTACTTAGTTAACTTTGATTAAATAAACTGAGATAACTTGTTTCATATTCCTGTCATAAAACAAACTGAACTGAAAAAGAGCAGAGTTTGTGTTTTGGAAGTGATGGTTTTACCTGCTGGCCGTGGTAAAACACGGCGAGGAGGAACATGGCCATCAGCAGCAGAGACGTCTCTTTGGTTCCCAGGAAGTTTCTGATGGGAGGAGAAGAAGAAAATAAGATGCTTATTCTGATTTCATTACACTCTGCAGGAAATATCAGGCAGAAGACATTAAAATGTCACGTTGTAGTTTAATCTACTAAAAGATTAAAGTCATGCAACAAAATCCCATCAAAGAGAAACTTTGGAAGAGAAACCACTCACTTTATGTAAAGTTATAAACTGATACGCACAGGAGAGGAATCTGATCTTATGAAAAAACCTGAGACGACATGTTTGTTTCCCTCTGAGGATCATCAGCTCAGAAACGCAAACTAATAGAGAGTTTTTAACCCAGTTTACTGGCTGAAAACAGGAATCAGGTCTGAGACTCTGAGTTTTTATGCATTGTTGAATCCGTGGAGGTTTTAACGTCACGCTTCAGCTGCCACACAAATGACAAGAAAACATCTGCGAAAACAAAACAGCCGAAGCTGACAGAGAGCAGAACGCTCCTCTGGTCCTGGAGACCAGATAAGAAAACAAAAGGAATCAAATTAAATTCATGATCCTCTTCTGTGCTTTTTGTTTCAGATGTGAAAACATTTCTGCAGAAATCATCTTCATGTTTCTGCCTGGAGACGTTTTACACATTTAAAGGACATTTAACAGAAACTATCCCGACTCTGGGTCGAGGTGATGAGGACTGGAGCTGGCCACACTAATCAGGAAACTGTTAATGGGTTTTTATTTAATTGGTTTTATGGTTTCTGATATCTTAAAGTCCACTTTTAATCATGTCATATTTATATTCAAATTTCCTGTTTGGCAAGAAATCTGACTCATTTCACTGAAACTAAATCTACCTAATGGTAGAAATAAACCTTTAAATATCAGAAATGTAAAGATTTTACAGGACATTAATCCAGGCTGCCTTTGTTTTTCACTTTTCACGTAAAAACAACTCCAGGATTTTAATCCAGCTCCTGAGTTATCATGAGCCTGGAAACTTCAAACTCTGCTGGTTTTTCACATTTCTGCTTTAATTTTATTACAGTAAATATCAAATATGATCAATAAAAACCCTGAGAGATTCATATTTTGTACATTTGCAGACATGTGGATCTTTCAGGTGGATGTGAAGACGAAATGTAAACTCAGAACCAAATGAGGTGAGGCATCCAACATGGCCGCCATGCGATGAGAAAACGCTGTGCAGACGACTCACTCCGTGTTGTGGTGCACCGTGTCGTAGCGCACAAACAGCGAGGTGTAGAAGGCCTCGGTCAGCAGGGAGTAGATGGCGATCATCAGCAGCAGCACGGCCAGCTTCAGCACCGAGTTGAGCCGCAGGAACACGGCGCAGGTGACCATGGCCAGGACGCCCGTGAACACGAAGTACTGCCAACCAAACAAACCAGCGATTAGATGCACATCCATGATCCCAGCAGGCGGGACAGCAGGGGGCGCCAACGCAAACATCCGACCAAATTCAGCCAGGATGCAGAGAGTCACAGCACTGAGGGCAAAAACTGAGGAAATAAACTGGTGAAGTTCAGATTATCATTCAATTTATAGTTGATTTAATGTAAATATTAACGAGCTAACAGCTGGTTTCAGATGAATTACAGACTAAACTAATTACTATAAATAATTTAATCCTCCAAGCAGCTAATTATCAGATTTATTTATGTAATAATTAAGTAAAAATAATAAGGAAATAAAACTAATCTGGATTTGCTAAATACTCATAATAATTACACGTTTCTTCATCATTTTGTTTCAGTTAATGAGATTATCAGGAACAAAGGAGAAAACTAATAAAATATTAATCATATGTTAATAAATAAAGTAAAACGAACGAGGAAACACCTGATCAGGTCATCACTTCATAATCACAAAGTAAACATTAACCAGAATTAAGCAAGTTTGTTGCTCCTCTGAATAAAAATACTAGAAAAATACAGAATATTTGTTTATAATTTCAATCACAATATAAATCAAACATGGACTTTATTTACTGTAGGAGACAAACTTTAAAACATTATGCATGAAATTTAAAACATGCATGAAATTTAAAACATTATGCATGAAATTTAAAACATGCATGAAATCATGACATATTTTAGTTACATGATGAGGGGAAAACTAAAACTGGAGCTGAATTAACGGTTATTTATGTAACATAGAATTATTATTCTTTACCAAACTATAAACTGTTTACCCTGATAATTAATAACTATTAATGAGGAATATCTTGTAATTATGAGTAGTTATTAGTTAGTTATGAATTAAATTATTCCTCCTCAATTAACATTTATTACAGCTAATAATACTTTAATAACCAGCTAATAATTAGATCAGCATGACTAATTAGACAATTAATTATTAACCCAACAACCAACAGTTTATCTAACATCCTGGAAATTTGTGGATAAATTATTTATGAATGGTCTTTTGTGTTTAAAATATATAAAAAATTAAGGTTTCTGTTAATAATTAATGTTTTATTTCTGAGCATTTTTCAAAACATTTTTAATGACCAAATATAACAGACTGGAGAATATTTACAGTTTATCAGCGTACAGTTGATCAATTATAAAGAGGTTTTATTTAAATATCTTCATTTCTCACCTTAAAACAAACCATTTAATAATAATTGGTTCATAATAGTTCATTAGGTTTGAGTTAATCTGTAGTTTTAGCAGGAAAACTGTAATACCACAGGCAGCCACTAGGAGTCAAAACAACATTACACAAATAATCCAGATTACTGCTGTGAGGATTATAATGCAGACACAATCCTCTGGAGGTTTTTTTTTGTTTTTAGGTCTTCAGATTCCTGAACCTAAAATTGGACTGAAGATCATTTTAAACTTTCTGCATATAAACTAAACCTCCCAGTTTGTCTCATAAGTTTTCTGTTATTAATGTGAACTCTGGGCACAAACTAAAATAACTTTATGAGCTCCGGATCGAATCCCCAGTTCCTCTGGCCACACAGCACAACCCCCTGCTGAGCCGTAATAAACCAAAACTACTAAACTGCCCTTTATTTGATAAGTTTCTGCTTTGCCTGCTTATGAAATATTAAATCCAATATCCAGTATTTTCTTATTTGTCTGCAGCTAAAAATAGATGCAGTGTGTGCACAGAGCAGGTCTTACCTGCGGAGCCTGAGGAGGAAATAAGTTTATGATGTATACATGCAACAACATGACTCAGCCGAGCCTGCGGCGGTAAAAACCAGCCTCCTTATTGGCTCCATCAATCAGCTGCAAACTGTGAGGGCAAAACAACATGACGGATGTTTTCCACGTGACGCCCTGATGGCGCCGCCGCCGCGTCCCAGGCGGGACCTCCCTGTGGGACGCGGCGGCTGTCCGCCACGTTTAATTCATCGCTGACGCAGAGGTGAGAAAGCGCAACAGACGGACCGGGCCGCAGAACCGACAGCTCGTCTCGTTGGTACCTCTGGGTAGAAGCAGATGTCCGGGATGGAGGCAGACTCGTGGTACGTCTGGTTCCTGAAGGTGTTGGACTTGTCGAAGTCGCACCACAGCTGGCAGAGACACAAACAGGACGGATCATTTCAGCGAGCAAAATTACTCAGATCAGCTGAAAACGAGGAGAAATCTCAGTCATTCTGCTCATTAGGGTCGATATTTACTAAATGTTTTTGATTCACTTGCAGATGAACCGTTGATCAGAACAGATCGATGGTTCTGATTTCCAACCATAAATTTATTTCCACCTCTACCTGCTTAATTCAGGTCTGTGTGTTTTTGAGTCATGATGGTGTTTCTACTTTCCAATGCGAGTCTTGTTTTTAATATCAAGGTGTTGAATGTCTACCACTAATGCCTGTTGATGCATATTTAACACATACCAGGAATCACACTGGAAGCACTTTTCCATCATCTAGTTTTCAGTAATGAAGCTAATTTGGATACATAATGTATAAACTAATAATATCTTAATGCTGCATGTTGAACTGTGGACTGGTTTTGGATAATTTTTTGACCGACCTTTGGACTTGTTCTTGTCTCGTTCTCACACATTGAGAACTTGAGATTTTATTCCATAAGTTGCCAGAATGTTGCTAACACTCTTTTATTAAACATACTGGTTTAAATCCAAACAAATCGTTTTAGTTTCCGCTGCCGTCCGCCTCCTTCAGCTACAGAAATCACTGAATATTTGTGTCAAACATCCAGGAGAAAACAAACGGCAACTTGTAAATCCTGCAGTCCTTCTCTTTCTGAGACTTTGACTACGTCTAAATTCAGCAGAATTTTTCATATTATTTAAAAATGTCAAATTTTTGCCAAATCTGTATGAATTTAAAATTCATTAATGTTTCAATTAAAACACTAAAAAATGTTGTTTAAAAAAAAAGTTTTTATGTTAATTATTGTGCTCATTAAGCTAAATATCATTTACAGACATAGAATGGCTAATCTAGGATTGATATTTCTATTAAGAATAGAATAAAGTAACCATCTTTAAACATGAGTTTTATCATTTGTTCATTATAATAACAGTGTTTGAATGAAAAGTTGCAACCTGCAGACATTTGACTGCAGAAAACCCAGAAAACCTTTTATATCAAAAGACACAATTTGTGTCTTACAGGCAAACAGTCGATGGTGGAAATAAAATCTTTGTCAGACGTGGAAAATCTCAAAGCTAGAGCGGAAGAAATAAACATTTCCTTTTCTTCTTAGTGACTCTTACGATGTTGATCATCGCAGCGAGGAAGTTGATCAGGATGGAGACGAAGACGATGACGTTTCGCGCTGCGTACGTCTCGTTGATCCAGCAGCAAGCCTTCCTCAGAACCAGAGGCAGACACTTGTAGTCCTCCGCCGTCGTGACCAGAACCAGGCAGGAGTGGAGAACGATGAGGACGGAGAACTGGATCACCATCGTCACCATTCTGCACGGAAACAGATGTAACTAAAATAAATACTGGTTATTTCAAACCCTTTAAGAGGGTCACACCTGAAGAAACGCCTACAAGTTTTAACTTCAGAACATGAGAATCTCTCTGAGGGTCAGAACATGAGAATCCCTCTGAGGGTCAGAACATGAGAATCCCTCTGAGGGTCAGAACATGAGAATCCCTCTGAGGGTCAGAACATGAGAATCCCTCTGAGGGTCAGAACATGAGAATCCCTGAGGGTCAGAACATGAGAATCCCTGAGGGTCAGAACATGAGAATCCCTCTGAGGGTCAGAACATGAGAATCCTCTGAGGGTCAGATAAAAAGGGGGAAATAAAACCACGTTCCAGAATCTCAACCCATTTTCTGCAGGTGTCCTGAGCTGCTAAATGAGCTGCTCTGTCTGGAAATGACACAGAAAAATACCTGAAGACTGAAATCTGATTTTTTTTTCTTTTTTTTTTTTTGCATGATTGAAAACTCCAACGCTTAATTTGAGCTTCAAAAGTTTAAAATTTGCTAAATTGTTTAGGTTAATCTCTGAAATTTTCGACAATAAATGTCAAAATTTCTGACTTCCAAAAGTTGAAAATGTTTTACTTTTGAAACTCATAAATTTCCATGATTTTATGGTGGAAATTTACTGTCCCTAATTCGGCGTTGCAGATTTTACAATTTTTAAGATAAATTTGACAGTTTTTTTTTATCAGGGTAGGATAATTATCCAGTTTGATTTTTACGGTGTTGTTGTTTCTGAGTCTTATCGGTTTATCGACGTCATTTGTTTGTTTTTGTGGAAACTGCTGGTTTGTTGACGTCCCTTACCTGGCAGAGGGAAGCAGGCTTTGAATAGCTGTGATGAAGATGAGCACGATGAAGGCGCAGACCAGGTTGGACTTGAAAACCTCGTCCCTCATCTGTGAGTACTGCACAGGGACAGAGAGACGAAGACCAAGAGAAAAGGAGGAGGAAGAGGAGGTGAGGGGAGAAACAGGTTTTCAGACACACAGAGAGGACTGGACGAGTCAAAATGCGCCAAACGCATGGATGCACTGCCACAGACGCATGCGACCCGGTCGACCACAAGCGTTAGAGAGAGACAGGAGCCGGTGGGTTAGCCGGGGTCCTGGGGAAGGTGCGAAGCTGACAAACACGACGCTAGCTGTGAGCATTCAGATGTTAGCCGAGACGCCAACAGAGAGTGCTGGGCGAAAATAAACCCTCAACCTGAAACTAAAGCAAGATTCACAAAAATATGTTTATTACATGTTTCTACTGCCCTTCTAATTAGCAACTAAAAATTAAAGAGCTAAAAAAGCAAAGACATTAATTTGGTGCCTTTTATGTTTTGCCTTCTTTACTTGTTGTATTTTGTCAAACAGTAATAAACTAAACAGGAACAGAACATTTATTTTCTGTTGATTCAGATTTTGTATTCGGTATTTGATAAATGTGGCTATTTCTGTATATAAGACTCAAACATTTTTCTTTAAGCTAGTAGCAGAAACAACTACATGGATCTATACATTTACTAAATCTAAAAATAATGCATTTATTTTGCTACTAGGGCCGATGACTGATAAATATAATCTTACTAAATGTAGATAAAATTAGCACCAAAAAAAACCTATGAGGAACATTTTTTTAAAAATCGCTAGCTAAGCTAATTAACCACAGCTAAACTTTAACAAAGAAAATCTAAAAAAAAAAACTTATTTCTTTGCAAAACTGCCAAATAATAATATACTTAATTTTTCTGCTAAAACAAAAAATGCCAGTTTTAAACTTCAGACAAATGTGTAAACAATGAGGAAGGTAAATCTGTCCGTTAGCCGTTGCTGAGCGAAGCTAGGTAGCTAGCACAGGGTGGCTAAGATTATTTGCCCCATTCCACCCCAGGGACGCCTGCTGCCCCGAACCTCTCCGTCTCTTTCTTTAAGGGTGCTGGGAAATTAGCAAGAGGATGCTTCACGTTCGGTCACAACTTTGGCAAATAAACAAAATTAAAGAAAAAATAAATAAATAAATTATAAAGAAGGATGAAGGGAGGCCAACACCAAATCACTGCACATTTACTGAGGTTTACAGTTAATCAGATAAACAAAATAAAAGTGTTTAAATTAAGGTCGTTTTGGGGGTTGGTGATAAAACACAAGTATGGAAGCCAATATGAACTCAACAGCAACAAAAACAAAACGGGAAAATATAAAAAAAGATGTGCAAAAGGAGACTGCATTCAGCAAAGAAAAGAGCATTCATACTTTTTATTTACACTTTAATTCTTCATGATAACGATTTATGAGCACAGAATCACAATGACAACGTTAGATAATCAATATACTGATGATTTTCCTGATAAAACAGCTGTCTATTTAAAAACTGTACAATAAACAAACTGATTATAATCTATTAGCATTTTAATCATTAATGTCCTGAATTTAATAATTACAAATGAAAAATTTACTCAAGTCAGAATAACTACAAATTACCAGTAGCTTATTGCTGAAGATATTCAGAAATGTATTATTTTTTTAAATCACCATCCACAGACTGGTTATTAATCACACTTTTAATAAAAATCAGTTTCAAACGTTCAGGATTTGAATATAAAGATTGTTTTAGACAAGGATGATGGTTTTTTATTTTTTTTACTGAATGCAGTGATCAAAAGATAAAACAGGAGAAAAAATAAAAATAATATAAAAATGAAGCTGAGCTGGTCAATTTATTCCACAGTAAAATTTCCCATAGTTCCATGGGGCGAGTGTTTGGTCATGAGTAAACTGAAGGGGGTCACTATGCTGTGGTAAAGAAAACAAAACTTGTCTAATTATTAAAGTTAAAACATGAGTCATCATTTTTAGGTGACCCTAAAATAAAAAGGAAAACTCAGAAAATCTGGATTTTATTGGGGTGAATTTTTACAGACCAATTTTTCTGTATGGAGTCCAAAGTGTGCCACTAAACTCGCAAATGTATTATTTTATTCTAACAAATTCTGACCTAAACAAAACTAAATTTAAGCTAAAATATCTTAGTTTGGAAATAACTTCCTTCAAAGAGAAGCTTCTCCAGCTTTTTGTTTTTCTTTCGATTTATTTGGAATAAAGAAACAATTTAATTTCATTTTTACAGATTAATATTTGTTAGTGGTTCTCAAAGTTCAGAAAAAGATGATTGAATTTGTTTAGTCATTAGTGAAATACTTAATTTGTTCTTTTTTACTAAAAATCGACCACTTTCAATAACAGAACAAAGATTACTGATGGCACACCTCAGACGACAGATTTATTTATTTTAATCCCAATTTTTAAACTACAAAATGTGACGGCTGTCCTCGTTTCATTAGCCTTCAGGGATTCGTGTAAAAATGGAGACACTAATAAAGGCAGTAAACCCAATGGAAGTGCCTTTAGCTTACTCATGATTTAATACAATTGGTGTCATTTTTTGGTTTTTAGAAATCTCAAAAGTAGGTGTGAGGAGGGAGAGAGAGGAGAAAACATGGATCTATCTCAAACCCCAGCTACCTTCTCTTCCAGGCTGGAGTCTTTAAACATCAGTGAGAAAGGCTTGATATGCTCTCTTCTCAACTTATCGCCACTCCGTAAGTCGATGGCACTCTCTATTCGCTTGTTAATTTCCTCAGGACCAGAGTGGACATGCAAAGCTTGTGCAAGATGGTTTGGAAGCAGATTTATCGAATTTCTCGTTAGGGCAGCCAGAGTCTAGAGGGAAAGCACATGCACATAGAATGAACCTGCTTGTCCCCCGTTTTCATTTCATTCAGGTTACAAATGAAAAAAGAAACAACAGACACACAGTTTGTTACAAACACAAAATTAAATCAAAAAGGAGGAAAGAGGGGAGACCAAAATGCAACATCAGCTGTCAGAGCGACAGCTCAGAGCAAAACATGCAGATCCATTCGCGCCGCGGCGGCCATGTTAGTGGAGACAGTAACGCACACACCGCCAGAAAGATTAAAACACAGTTCATCAGGCAGGAAAACAGCTCAGAAAAGGGTTCAGACGCACAAATTGTAACAAACACAGCAAAAAATGTAAGATTTTCAGGTTCATCTGGTTTAATTCCATCAAACTTTTGGAAACTAAGAAAAATGCAACAAGTAACTTTAACTTTTTCCTCTATTATAAACAAAATCAAAAATATTTTCACAAGCTTAAAACAAAAATATCAATATAAACATAAGAGGAAAACCACGATGTTGGTAAAGATTTAGACTGATTACTGGCTGTCCAATTACAGCAGCCAGTGTCACTAAATGCAAGTTACCAGGTAAAATTCAGGTGAACTAATCAGTGATTCCTCAGGACTGATAACCTTTTCAGAAACAGTGCTTCGCCAACTGAGTTAAAATTATTTTAATTATGATCAAACAACGTGAAGAAGAAATCTGCACCAATCATTAATACCACTTGAAGTTGTTTACATTTTGTCACCAAACTCATAGTTTGAGACTCTGCATGTTTTTTATATTCTATAAGCTAAGCTAAGCTAACTGAAGCTTGGTCTTTGCTCGTCTTCATGCCTCTGGTAAGGCACAGATCCACCAGCAGATGGCAGCGTTCGCGACATCAGAGCTTATTTAGCAAAAGCATTTCCGTCTCCTCTTTAGCGCTTTAACAGAAAAGCTAAACAAAGTTAAGAAATTTTGCCGTTTCTAAAGCAACACTTCAAAATACGAACATTGAAACATTGAAACACGGCTCATGTTTTTCAGCTATAAGTTTTCATTGTTTACTTTGTTTTTACAATAAATTATACAAAAAAATCTTTCTACAACATAATATCTACTGAAATTTGTTGTAAAGTGACCAAGTGTAAAGAAAATGGCTGAATATGAGAATATTTTCATAAGGAATCGTAGATTATTCCTAGCATGTGTCAGATCTGCAGCTGGTGGTTTTTCTGCTTTGAAATGAAAACAGATCATCCCTGATGAGAAGCTCTGCAGGTCACAGGGCGACAGCAGCCATTTCCTCCAAACCGCCGGCCGCTGCAGCATCAGGTTACCGTCTGGAGAGTCGGAGAGCGGCAGAGCAGCCGGCCGTAAGCTGGGAGCGGAGATGGAGATGTTTGGAGATTCAATATCTCAGAACAAAGCGGCGCCTCACCTCAGCTCGCCTAATGCGACACGTTAACACATGAGATCCATCACGCTCAGATAGATCATTAAAAATTCATTTTCAGGCTCCACATGCATGGCCGTGCCCCATCAGTCCTGATTAATGGATGCTTTCGGCCCTTTGTTACCGGCCGGCTACGCTATCGCCAGAATTACACGCTAATGGAAACTACCTGCAGATAATAAACGGCCACGATTCAGACACTTATCACTCAGAGCCGCAAGACCTGGAGCCGCATTTATCACGACTGCAGGGAGATTCCCTCACATCGACACGATCCAGGTGTTCAACAGGGAGACAGAAGATTCTCACTGCTGCAGCATCTCTGTGCCGCCAGTTTACAGATTTAACTGGAGCAACTGGTCAGTTAATCAGTGAGTTAGTCATTCATTTGCTCATCCTTTGAGTTTAGGAACCTTTTTATGGCTGAGTGAATTAATTGGTTCGTTACTCAGAAAATAGACCAAACTTTCATAAAGTCTGACAAACTATTTAAAAAGATCACTAAAAGGATAGAAAATGTTAAATAAATGCCAGGGCTCAGATAATTAATAATGATTAATTGGTTAGTGAAACAAACATCAGTTTGTTTAGTTGATTAATTGTTAACTACAGACTCTAAAAAGTCACAGAATAACAGATTCAGAACAGAAATTAACCCAAAACTGTACAGAAATACAAACATTTATCATTTAAGATAAAAAAAACCTTCTTAGAACTTCTCTAAAAAAGTTTTAACTTCATCTGGTTCAGATTCTGTAAGAAAATCTTAAGAATCTTTTGAATAATCGGTTAATCCAAAGACGGTTTTTAATTCATATTTTTTATAGTTATTCCTTCACTATTAGTTGTAATTTGTCACACAGTATTATAATGAAGAGAAACAACAATTTTCTATATATAGATTCAGATTTGGTTTTCAGAATTTGATCAATTTAGCTACATTTGTCTTTAAATATCACATCATTTTGTTAGCTTATCGTCAAGCTAGTTAGCAAAAACAACTGAGTGGAAATCTTGATAAACTTGATAAAAATAAATTTTCTAATTAATATTCGTCTCAGGGTCTAAATGTGATGAACTACAGTATTACTCACAGAAGGTAAAAGAAGCAAAATAAGTAAAAACAAATGAAAAAATAGCTAGCTAACATATGCTAATTAGCTACTGCTAATTAGTACAGTCCAGCAGAGCGCTGAGCCTTTTATCGGCAGATCCTATAAACGATCAACCGTTCACTGAAGGACTACTGTTATTGATTAACCTTCAGAATAATTGATCACTATGTTGAGTTGCAGCTGAATTAAATCCATTTTCAGGGTTTTTTGAATGAACAGATGATTGTAGCCGATCTGTGAGCATCGAGCGGCTCCAGGGGAGGAAGATGAGCCGAACCGGAGCGAAGCTCTCATGCATATGAATGAAGATCAAGTGGCCCATGTGTTCGATGATTAGCATATCTGGAACCCAGTCAGCAAACACATGAGCCGGGTCATAATGGAGGCCGCCAGAGGAGCCGCCATGACGCGTCAGCCTCATCACGGCTTCATCTCACAGCAGCGCCAAGCCACATTTGACCGAACATGCAGCCCGGGTCAGAACCGTGCCGCCGCACAGCTGCTGCTTCTATCTGGAAACATTAGAAAAGGTTTGGGTCGTCTGTGTTTTGCTTTGAAATGTCTTCGTGAATCCCGTTTCCTCAGTTTTCATTTGTAAATATTAAAGACTAAATACAAAAGTTTCATTTTGGTTCATTTTTTCCACAAATGTTTGTTTGGTTGCTGTTGGTTACCAGATCAGAAGCGTTTATGTCCGTTTTACTCCACGATCTCAAAGGAAAACTGAACATCACAGAAAAATTTCAGCGTGGAGGAAAAAAGGAAACATTTAGTAACCTCAGCTAAAAACTTTGGGTCTCGGATGTTTCCTTGTCCATCTATCAGGACTCCCATCCACCGGCCCGCTTGGCCCAACTCCTCGTTTCAAAAATAAAACCAAAGTTGTTTTTATTGACAACAGAAGCCACCAACCTAGCAGAGGAAAGGCTAAAGCTAAAGCCTTTCCTCTGCTCTACCTACATTACCCAGAATGCTTTGCAGTTCTGGATCGGAGTTCAGTGAAATTACTGACTATTCTATCATACGTATCTATATCTCTATTGATATTGATTACATGTCTGTTGTGATATGAACTGTTATAGATTTCTTCCCTGCCTTCCTCAGGAAAAGAAACCTGAAGCTGAAGCTCGCTGCTTCATCTGGAGTGTTTCAGAAACGAAGGAGGGGAATCCCCGCCTTGAAGCAGAATCTGAAAACATCTGCAGCCGATCTCTGAACATCCACACCGCTAACTGAACCTTTCAGCTTCTGCTCAGAGGAGCAACCCGGATCAAACATGAAACCGTTTGTTTCATCGAGCTAAAGTGTTCACGCCCGCTGCGACGTTTCCGTCAGAGGATCCACCATCTGCTTTCTGACCATCATCTGGACGCTCAGAATCCAAACATCCAGTGAAGCAGAGGATGTGACCTCAGGAAGACGCCTGGCCTCGGCCCGGAGACGCCGCCGCAGGGACACGGAGGGAGCGGCGCTCCGAGTCCGGCCGGTCTGATCGTGTTTGGCGTGAAGGTCCCTGAGAGAGCGCGGAGCAGAAAGGCCACCGATCCCAGCAGGCCTGATCAAAGCCAGACTGCTGAGCTCTGAGTTCAGACCTACTGCTGATCTGTGTGACGCAGAAATAACCTCCATCTGTGGGAAACGGCAGCGTTGGACGTGGAGATGAAGATGTCTAAAAACGTGACCACGAAGGTTAGAATGTGATTAGTTTCCAGTCTGCAGCTGCAACAGGTCTCCTGTGGTGCTCTTTAAAGGATCGCAGGCAAGCAGTTACATAAGGCACGAACCGCCGCAGGCGCAGCAGGAACAATGTCGCATAAAGTGAACCGTCTTGACATTTATTAGGCAGATTGCCTTTTGACATACGGATTTCCAAACATGTCCTGATGGACTCTCCTGACGTCCAAACAATCAGCTGAGCTCTGTCCACAGATGAAACCCTGAGGACCAGCGTCTCCCTGCAGAGCTGCAGAGGTTCTGCTGATGAGCTGAAGCTCCATGGCAGTGATGAGCATCATGGCTGCCAGCAGCAGAGCCGTGGAGCGGCGCCGAGCTGCAGGGATGAAGGCTGCCAGTCTCCTTAGTCTGTTTCTGAAAGAATCCTCTGGATGTGCAGTCAGCCCCACAGGGACCAGCTACCACAGCTAACAATGCTAACAATGCTACGACTGATATCAAAGCTAAAAGCGCTACCACAGCTAACAATGCTAACAATGCTACGACTGATATCAATGCTAAAAGCCCTACCACAGCTAACAATGCTAACAATGCTACAACTGATATCAAAGCTAAAAGCGCTACCACAGCTAACAATGCTACAACTGATATCAATGCTAACAGTGCTACTAACGCCAACAACGCTACCAATGCTACGACTGATATCAATGCTAACAATGCTACCAATGCTGACAACGCTACCAATGCTAACAACGCTACCACTGCTATCACCAATATCAATGCTGTCATTAAACATAAAAATATTTATGCTCACATTATACTTATAATCTTTGTAGGTGGGATCAGTTTTGTCTGTACCAGCTCTACTGACAGATTAAAAGACATTTTTCTCATATCAGAAATAATCTACCAGTGGAATCAAAACTTTTTCATTAATATTGATGAACTGTTGACCTAGAAGAAGCTCTTATACTAAAAAGTTATTTATAAGTTAGTTTTGAAGTGTACTAAGGCATTTACTCTGCAAACTGGACCAAAAGAACTTTGGACCGCTCACAAGTTCAGTCCAAGACCTCAACTGGCCCCCGGGCCACACTTTGGACACCCCTGACTCAGAGCCTTGCTTGTTTTTACCACAACGTAAGGATTTATTTTGCTGTTCCGTCTCCAGAGTTTCCTGCTGCTGTGCTCAGATTTTCCAGCTTCCTGGCCAGCGCTGATGGCTCACCTGGCCTGACCCGGACAGAAACGCACACCCTGCACGCCGCTCCGCGCTGCATGCTCTGATGCAGAGACGTGAATCACACGGACAGCGCGGGGGGAGGAACCTGCAGGAGACGGGAAGCCGCAGGAGAGCCAGACACGACGCTGCACAACTCCTCAGAGGAAGCTTTGATATGCACAAGTCAGGCTTTTGATCCAACAGGCGCTTTATCAGGCCACCAACAGCAGAAACAACATTCCTCTGCAGCTGGAGCCTGACAGGCTGGAAACGACACAAACCTGAACACAACAGGTTCAGGTTTACTGCAACCGATGCTTTAAAGCCAGGATGTATTTACTCATTACACCTGGAAAACATTTCAACTGGCTGCAAACCGTCAGAATCCCAGTGAATAATCACAAAAACAGCCCCGTCTGAGACTCTGCAGGAATCAGTTTGCTGAGTTTCATGACTGGACTGTAAATAAATGCGACTTCTTATGGAGGAATGAATGAAAGTCAAACCTGCAAACCTCAGTAACCAAAACAAAAACACAACGATGTGAGATAAAGTCAGAAAGCTAATGCAGATATGAAGAATCTACGAAACTAAAGAAACTCCAACTGATGAAACGCAATGATGATCAACAATGATAAAATATTACAACCTTTAGTTTAACGCTAACGGGACAAAATCAGATACAAAGTGTCTGCATTTCATTCAAATTTTACATCAATTCCTTTGGGAGTACTGGGCTTTTCCCAGTGAACGGGGCTGAACAAAACAAACAAAAACAAACAAACATGCAGTTGGACTCCAAGCCACTCGGTGGCAGTAGTGCGCCAACTCGTATGTTTGGTGCCAATAAACATGAGACAAGACATCCCTTCACTATTGGAAATTTCACATACGCAATCAATAAGTATCGGCTGCATTTTGTTGCTTAGTAACAGAGGAACGTTGTGCAATAACAGTAAAATAGACAAACATCATAATTCTGCACCAGAAGAAGCCAGATGCTGTGAGTCTGTATGTAAAGGTTATTCTTCTGTGCATGTTGCTGCATCATTCAGCAGTATGAACACACACACACACAAAAAAACGTTTTAAAATAATCTGAATTTAGCATCAAGAGCTGCTGTGTGAAGGCAGCCAGAGCTGCAGCTTCCGATTTACTCCGACATGAACCAGGCAGCTCCAACCGTTCACAGAACTGTGAAGAAACACAGACTGACTCGATGGTTTAGTGTTTTAAAGCTCAGTTGGTGAAGCACTCTGAAACAGGTCTGACTTTAAGGATGTTTAAGATGATTAAATTACTGTTATTAATGAAAGTAAGAAGGCCTGAACCACACCAGTAGTTTGATCCTCCAGTAAAAACGTTGGTTACGTATTGCAACCCCAGAGTTTAGGCGCCGCAGCCTTTAAGGCTACAGAACCAGCAGATCTGTTGTTTCACACAGACGACGAAGACCAAAAAGAAACAGGAAGATGTTAAATGACGTTCGTCATCCTCACACAGGCAGGTCGACACACACACAATGTTACACCTTCTACACACACACACACACACACACACACACGCACGCACGCACGCACGCACAGTCTGCTCAATCTGAGGAACTAAAAGGGACAAAACAACCGACCAACAGGCGAGACAACCCAGAAGATCTCATGCACTGCAAAACAAAGGCCCGTCTCCCCAAACAGCGCCGCCCTGCAGGAAGCGTGGTGCATTTCTCTGCTTTAGTTTGACAACCTGATTGAAGCCCAATGGTTCGGCTGCAGGGCGGGCCGTGGGTCCGGACGGGCGTTCTTTCTCAGTGTGAAACAGAACCCGGCAGACCCCGGCGGATCTTACGTTTTGGTTTCCCACGATGTTGTCGAAGGGCAGCTCGGGGCTCCAGGACGCCTCGTTGAAGGTGGCGCTGCTGGCCCGGCGGTCAGCCGAGCTCGCCGCCTCCTTCATGATGTCCTCCGGCAGCGTCAGCAGGCTCTCCTCCGGCTGCTTGATCAGGTACGTCTCGATGTTGTGGCGCCGCAGGAAGTCGTTGCGGTCCTTGCCGTGACCCTCCTCCACCTCGTAGTCGCCGTTCAGACAATCCAGAGCAGCTTTGGAGATGTGGATTCGCCTGAAACACGACACAAATATCAAACAAACACCACAGTTACGTCAATATGTTTGGATTATTTGTATAAAGTATACAAAATAAACACACATTCCTTTTAATTTCATCCCTTTTTAAGTACCAATTTATAATGATGCAAAAACATTAAATCTTATTTTTCCAAATTGTACATTTGAAATAAGACAAAACTAACTTATCAGTAACTTTTCAGAAGGAGACAGAAACCAGTCAATAATACTGGTTACACTGGCAGATTAGTTCACTTATAACATGTGAAAATGTCTTGTTATAAATTAAATATATACATAACGTACTAAAAATTTAACTAAATATGTCAATTTTTAAAACTGGAAAGAAAATACTGAAATATTTTATTAAATATTGGCATTTTTAAATTTCATTTTAAAAATAATATATATATTTCATAATTTAACAAATAATTTTGTGAAATAATTTTAACTCAGTGGGCGGGACTAAATGAGAGCATGACGTCTGATTGGCTGCTTCTTCTACATTAGTTATAACCCTGAGTTCAGTAATATCACTGCAATGTACAGGGAAACTTCAATAATTTAATTAAAGTCTATGTACTGGTCTGAAATATCTCAAATAAGTTCACAGGAGAGCGTTAGCCGGTGTTAGCTAGCGGCTAAAGTAGCTCTGAGATATTTCAGACCAAACTAAAAAACAGAGACTGGATTTGCTCACCAAAAGTTTGTGGTAAATAAATTATTAATTTAGTGAAATTCCACATTTCCAGTGAAAATACTGATCGAGTCGTAGCAAGCAGCCAATCAGACATCAGGGTCTCCCTTTAGTCCCGCCCACTGAGTTTGATGGTGAAGTTAATTTAAGTGAATTCATGATATGTTTCAGCACAGGAACATAAAATAATTCATTAATTTATTACATAATTATAACTAGTTTTTAAAGTGAAACATGAAAACGTTTATATAATCCTATATTAAATAAATTATTTCTATATTTATTTTGAGATTAAACAAATATAACCAAATAAATAACACTTTAAATATATATTTATTATTATTATTATTTGTTGTAATTTGGCACTACTGGCATTCCATACAGAATAACCAGGGAACAAACAATAAGCTCTTCAATAGTTTAAAGTCACACTAAGGAAATACGAGTTTAACGAGTTTCCACCCAAAGCAGCCAATCAGTGACCTGTACAGGTGTGAAAGAAGCAGCCAATCAGTGACCTGTACAGGTGTGAAGGAAGCAGCCAATCAGTGACCTGTACAGGTGTGAAGGAAGCCGTGTCAGGTCAGTGGCTGAATGTTGCTGCAGCCAAAGGTCAGGTCTGCCGCGTCTGAAGTGTCGGATGTGATGAAAACATTCATACTTTCATTCATCTTATGCAACAGATTTCACTGAAGAGCAAAGGTCAGAGGTCACAATCCAGCTCAGTGGCAGACGCTGCAGGACGGTCAGAACCAGAAACTAAAACCTCTCTCTGTCTTTAGGCCAGAAGGAAAGACGAAGGGGCTGGACGATGGCGGCAGTAAAACTCCCTGTTATTGTGTTTTGGGTTGGATCCACACCACACACACACACACACACACACACACACACACACGCACGCACGCACGCACACGCACGCGCACACACACGCGCACGCACACACACACACCCACACACACGCACACACACACGC